GATCGCCTATTGCTCCCAAAACATGATGAAATTTATTCACTCCTCACGCTGGACTTACGAACCTTGTTCACAGCCTACCCTTCGTCCTCCCTCCCCCTTCCCCGGTCCCGAGGGCCTCAACATGTTGACGGCAACATTTTCCTGGCGGGAGAACGAGGAGCAATTATCCTCGAGTGGTGCACCGCATGAATCTGCGTATTGCTGGCTGACGACGGCTACTAAGCCCAAAATGGCCATTCCAGTCCCTCTTGTCTTCGCCGGCAGTACTATCAGCCTATAGGTTTTTCATTGTTCTTAAGGATAAAAGGCAGTCGCTGGTAGCTGGGTTAGATGGATAAGAGGAGCAAGAAACCATTCGGTTGATTCTAAACGCTTTGCGTACAGGCCCATCGGCGTGATGAGGCTGTCAGTCTCCCGCTCGCCACATGCTATCGTTTCAGTACTTGCAGATAGTAACCTTGGTTCAGTGGGATACCATAAGGAACATATTCAACGTGAGTCTTATATGTTTGAATACCAAACTATATTGAACTTCAGATTCGATTTTAGAAGTTTGCGAGCGACCTTAATTGGGTTCATCTTCAAGTGACATTTGGCTATCACTAAACCGTCAATTAAAGTATGGCATCTAAAGCTTTCTATGATATTATTAGGGATAATCTGGTAAAGTCAAAGTGGAAGCAGCTGCTGCCTTCAAACTGGTAAGTGAAGTCCCTTAGACTGCCTTTTCTTGAGTTGGAACAATGTTTAATTGAGGCGAGAATATCGATGTGGTTCTGACAGGAGAGAACGATGGTCATGGATCTTGTCTCAAAGACAAAAATACACTTTTAATTTTATAAATATATGACAATTTTGACTTAATGCGCTAAAATTGTGACTAGATAAATGTTTTTTTGAGGGTACCAATTATGCAGATTTTAAATCAAGCACGTTTCAAATATTCAAAACTTCTACAATCATCATATTTGCATTTTACAAACGAAAATGCACAAGAACTCCTTAAAACGATGGCAGGCGGTGGCTGTCGATCATGATCCCTTCCAAAGCACATTTTTGCCATATTATTTTTGCCAAGGTTTCCATTAAATTACCCTTGTAAAACTCGATCAAAAACTGAACCGAACAACCACACCCAGAATATACGACACTTTCGTCAACCGGGGAGATGATTTATGAATAGATTCTTGTTTTCAAACTCACCATATTAACCGATAAATACTGAATCAACCAAATAGCCAATAATCTTTCCAGTAAGCTTCCTTTGGAGAATTGTGAAACAAAACTTCATTTCAGTGATGTTTGTTCTTCCTCAGCTTGGAGGCAAAATGCCAACGGATTTATCATTACATTTAATTCAATCACCGTAGCGATGCATCTCAGGGCGGTCTAAGTAGCATTATCTATTGCTTATTAAACAGAATGGAAAAAAATCTTCCTAGAGATTACCACATACTACAAAGAAACTTACTGCGACGGCTAAATAGAACTTGAATCATATCATCTTTCGATCTTGGCTAACCATAGTTCAAATACAAACTCAATTCACACGAGAACTGCTAGGTCGGGCTAATTTAAAGCGAATCGTATTAAAGCTTGACGTCACTATTGGCAGGTGGCTCTACAACCGTAAAAAGTTAATTTTAGCATAAATTTCCATTTAAATTAATTCCTTTTTTATTTTGCTTCATGGTGGAAAACGGGGCTGTACTATCTACATGACCTGAAATGAAACCACAGCGGTCGGCTACCATCTCGCATTTTATCGGCTTAACAGAACCTAAGATTTACTTAATTTATCATGCAAAAGACTATTTAGCGAACAACCGTAGGCTTTCAATTAATTCCTGTCGAGAAACAAGCAAAATCTGTTAACTTCCCCGTGGACCAAATCGAAGAATAACATAACGAGGCTGTACCTGCTTTTTAAGAACACGTATCCTGATATCTATATTGCACAAATATCAACCCATCACACGGACAGCAAAAAAGACAACTCTGCCCCCTCCCAAAGTCCTCTTTCAAGAGGACGCGGTGGGTGAATTCCTAAGAAGACGCCTAGACCGATCTTCTCCTCGCACATTCACAACCGCAAGAGTTCGCGTACGACTCTCGAACAGCTGTCAACTACACGGAAGAGGTAAGGATTGGTTACCAGTTCAGACTCCCTTACCGCGCCATGTGCATTCGATCTCACACTTTTATGGTTCTTACGGAGCAGATTCTATTGTTCACACTAGTTGGCGCCTATTTAAAAAATACGAAACCACCTCCCTATACGGCTAAAAAAAGGCGAAGTTAAGAACATAAACAGTATTATTCCCGTAAACATGATTGATTTCGGACATTGTGTGGCGGTCCCCGACTATATGCGACCTCCATTTTCCTTGATCGTCCCTGGACTTTGAATGCACTGACAACACCGCTAGATTTTTAACCGCGCGGATACCAATATTCAGGTTGTATCTCTTTTCCTTAATATTTCACATACCTTTATATTTGGGTCCTTCTGAACCTCGCAGTGTTGCTCGTTTGGTCGTTATCTTTGTCTGAGGGTTAGCTATCGTTTCACTCCGATGGTGTGTTAGCTTTCTAACCGCACTCAAGCCTGCTGAGTGATTTATGAGGTCCAACAAAAACAATCATAAGCCTCAGGGTCAGCCTTTGGCGGCAAGGGCAGAAGCGACGATCATAAGTTTGCTGAAGCTACGCTTGTACGCATGTAAGAACCTCTTGCAAGTTTCGTGTTTATCCTCGTCAAAGGTCGATTAACTGCAGGCACATCCCGCATTCTCTCCCTACTTCCCCTTCGTACAGATCAACATAATCCTCATTAGCCCATGTTTCACCGTATCTTAATCCCTCCTCTTCCCGTTCAAGGACCCCTTGCACGAGGAGACGTTTACTTGATTGATTGCATCACTCAAATCATCTAGTTTAACAAGACTGGCTTAAGTTCATTCAACGCACACATGTGCTCGCTCCCTGGTCTTCTGAATCCTTTTATGGTAATTTTCGTAACTTTTTTTACGATTTTTGAAGTCCTTGTGTTGCCTATTCGAAAAGCTTGCTAAGAATGGCATTCTTAAAGTTTTGTTAGCAGCTACGGAAGATTTGCTATTTCATGAGATGATAACTGAAATTTTGGGAGTTATTTTTGATTCGCAAAGCTGACTTACGCAAGGTTGTCAAATTAATTATCGTACAGTATATGCTCGACATATTCCAGCCACTTATGAATGCTGGCCTTAAAACGACCTTCTCTTTGGACGTTTGCAAGAAAATAGCAACTTGTGTACAGCGAAAGCTCGGTTTACGAGTTTAATCCATACCGACACCGAGCTCGTCATGTGAAACTCTCGTTTTGCGAAACGTAGCCAACCGAACTGAATCAGTTCACTGATTGTTTGGCTCCATATGAGCGAGTACCCACACCCTAGGAGTGAGACCCGGGCACATACACACGCATTTCCTCTCTCCCAAATCTAAGAAAAGTAGTTTTTGCTGGTGAATCGTAGAAGCCTACGGGCGTTGATCTGCACTTCCTGCGTTCTCTAGTATCCCACTAATCGCGTTCGCACGTCTACCTTTGTTTCCAAGACGAGGTGTCGTTAACTGGGCCTGTTCATGATTATCAAAACCACCTGTGAGTTTCCTTTAGAAGCCACTGAGTTTGGCGATAGCATCAGGCGTTCACAAAGCCAGGTTTCTGATCTATTGGTCAGCATATTCCAGGACTTTTAACGGACTAAGAAACCGCATCCGAACCCCCCTTGGTGCGGGTGAACATCCTTAAGGTTTTGGTCCTGTGTCAGCTACTTGTGAACTAGCTGTAGAAAAAGCTGATCCTAACGATATTTGTAATACCCTGCAATGTTACTGCACTTTTAAGAATTCCACAATAAACAACAAACAGAAGCGTCCTAAATTTTGGAAAAACAATAAATTCGTCTAAGTTATCCCATCTTCGAACTTCTAAATACCTATCTGAAAACCTCTTTTTTTCCCTCCAATTGCGGCCACCCGGTTAAAATGAGTATGGGCGATGAAAATATTAAACTTTGGATCAAATCTTCCATATCCTCCAACTTTGCCTGATAACACTGGTGACTTTAGGAGAACTGCCATATCAGTAATTGTGTACCGTCTATTGCAGCAAGTTGAGCTTCTTCCACCGTGAAAATTAGGTTGAAACGAAAGGAAAGAAAATTAAAAGTCCGTGAAGTTCGTGGAGGAAGCAGAATCTGAGATTAATTTCGTACGTCTAAATCAAGTAGTTAGAAGGTTCCAGTTCGAAGTTGACCTCTAGGGAGAAGGATTGTTGAACGCAAGAAG